AGACAGACACACAGACAGACACACAGACAGACACACAGACAGACACAGACGGACACAGACCGACACAGACAGGCACAGACAGGCACAGACAGGCACAGACAGACGCAGACAGACACAGACACCAGACACAGACACCAGACACAGACACCAGACACAGACACCAGACACAGACACAGAGACAGACACAGAGACAGAGACAGACAGAGACAGACAGAGACAGACAGAGAGACAGACACAGAGACAGACAGAGAGACAGACAGAGAGACAGACAGAGAGACAGACAGAGAGACAGACAGAGAGAGAGACAGAGAGAGAGAGAGACAGACAGACAGAGACAGAGACAGAGACAGAGACAGACGAAGGGACAGAGACAGACAGACAGACGAAGAGACAGACAGACGAAGAGACAGAGACAGACAGACAGACGAAGAGACAGAGACAGACAGACAGACGAAGAGACAGACAGACGAAGAGACAGACAGACAGACGAAGAGACAGACAGACAGACGAAGAGACAGACAGACGGACAGACAGACGGACAGACAGAGAGAGAGAGAGAGTGTGAGAGAGAGAGAGGGAGAGAGAGAGAGAGAGGGAGAGAGAGAGAGAGAGAGAGCAGAGAGAGAGAGAGAGAGAGGGGGAGAGAGAGAGAGAGAGGGAGGGAGAGAGGAGAGGAGAGGAGAGAGGAGAGGAGAGAGGAGAGGAGAGAGGAGAGGAGAGAGGAGAGAGGAGAGAGGAGAGGAGAGAGGAGAGGAGAGAGGAGAGGAGAGGAGAGAGGAGAGGAGAGAGGAGAGGAGAGGAGAGAGGAGAGAGGAGAGAGGATCGAGGATCGAGGATAGACAACTCCGCTGTTCTTGTCCAAGGAACTTTTGAAGTAACAACAGACACCACCCAGAGAGCAGACTCAACATGATGCCATGACAGCAGTTCTCCAGAACTCAAGCCCGATCGAGAAGTCTCTCGAACCAGAAGCCCGACTCAAGCCGGATGTCAGAGCCGTTGCCACAGAGCCCATTGGTGCAGCAGATGGCTGCAGCGCTCGAAGCGCGATACCAGGCACAGGAAGCGATTGCTCAGTCAAAGCAGACGTTTGACCTGGACAAGCAATTAGATCAAGCAAGCGACGAGCCCGCCGACGTAGGGCATATGGGAGACAGCGCGCTGGAGTCGGGGAAGCACAAGGGCATGACAATGCGGGAGGCCTATCAGATCGACAAGAGCTATGTCCAGTAGATCCGAGACAATGACTCCGGAGAGCAAAAAGTTCGCTGTCAAGATGATGGAGTTCCGGCTCTACATCGAACTGCGGGATCTACAGAAGGAGAAGCGCATCAAGCACAGAGTCTGATTCCATTTCCATTTCCCACGACACAGGCCTGCGCAGCAAAGACCAAGACCAGTGCCGGGACTCGTCGAACTCTTGCAAAGGATCTTTGTGATTCTGGAAAGTTGCTTTCTGCCAGGCCCTGTGCCATGTTGGGGAAGAAGCAAACTAGGACGGGAATCTGATGACAGCATCTTGGTGGATGATGACAACATCCTCACCAAACGAACTACTCCTGGGCAACTGCAAAAAATCGCCGGGAGATCCTGCAGAATGTCGAGAAGATCTTGAATTTGGAACGGTGGAAACAAGAGTGTGGGGCTTGGAAGCCTTGAAGCACGCACGTCTTACGGATGAGGCTTGCAAAGCAGCCTGATGATGTGCAGACCTGTCACTGAGGAAGCCATGATACCGCCAGTTGTGGAACTGCTGTGGCAACCGGTGCTATGCCAATGTTGTCCTGCGAATGTGGTGCTGGATGGGAACATCACGACCAGCCAGCTGAGTTCTGGCCCGTCCACCAGATTATGCACGCAGCTCCTTCAACTGAAATTCAGGATGTGTTCTGGGCGTCGGAGCTAAGGCCAGTCATTGCTCGACTTGAAAACCCGCAGGCTCAGCGTGACGCCTCTGAGTTCTTTATCCATCTTTGGGAGCGGGGAGGTTGTCAGCATGAGTTCGACACAACCCCTAGAATTATAAAAAACTTTCATTGGAAAGAGCCTGTTTTCTAAATTTAAAATAAGTCAAAAAAAGTCAATCCCAAAAGTCAAAGTCAAAAAAAAGTCAAATCAGCAAATTTGAGAACGTCAAAAAAAAGTCAATTTGCCCAGATCCGACCTGTTTCGACATTGTTTTCGTTTTTTTTGATTTTTTAGCATGTTTTCGACGTTTTTTTTGGGACATTTTTCGACAGTTTTTTGCCTTTTTCGAGCTGTGGTCTACGGTTGACTTTTTTACCTTTTTTAAAAAACTTTTTTTGACTTTTCTTGATTCCAGTAATCCGCCAAGGCGAGGAGCGACAGTTTTTACTTGTTTGTGACTTTTTCGTATTTTTTATTTTTTTGACTTTTTCGAGCTGTGGTCTATGGTTGACTTTTTTTCGACTTTTTTTGGGGGGGTACTTTTTTGACTTTTCAATTTGACTTTTTTTGATTGACTTTTCCAGTTGACTTTTTTTTGACTTTTTTTAAATCACGGATTCTGGCCTTACCATATGAAAGTTTTTTATATCCCTAGAAACATCACAACAAGCTTGTCACCCCATCAACCTTTCGATGTCCACTGGGCACAAATCAATCCACCTTTGTCTTGAGAGGCGTCATCTCTCATCAAGGGGAGGTACTCACCAGCGGTCATTACGTTACGCAACTGGTTGCAGGTGAGCGCCCTCAAGCGCTCAACGAGATACCAGAGCATGTCCAGGGTGCAGTGATGATTTGGGCATGTCACACAGTGGTCTACGGAAGTGCGAAAATGGGTTCTCAAGACTTACAAGTGATGATGATGGTGGAAAACCATCTACTGGGTCACAGGGTCCTAAGATGTGGCCATGAAGGAGCTATGCCGGGGTTGATGAGAGGAGGCAATAGTTTCAATTTCAATAGTTGAGGCCACCTCTTCTGTGTTCCGGATGGTCATCCTCCCTACAACCTGCACGAGTATGACTTTGAAGGGCATGGCTTCCTTGCCAACGTACTACAACGACAAAATTGGGAACTATTGCTCGTCTCCATATACGTCATGTGGGGACGATCTGAATTCGATGGTCAACAGCAGAGTTTTGGGGGAATTTGCGCTTCAATATGTGGCAATCCCATGGTTGGTGGTTGGGGATTTGAATGTCCCGCCCACCCAGTGGCAGGACCATCATCTGTTGAGCATCCTGCGGGCAGACTTGGTGAGTAGTGTGCAGCCAACAATGGTCAACGGCAATGAACTTGACTACGTGAATTCAAGTCGAGACTTGTCCCAGTTCCTGGAGATCCACGTGACTTTGGGAGGTCCCTTGGAAGGTTGATGTGGGGCCGCTGCTTCGTGTTGGCCATGATGCTCCTCTGATTGCTCTTCCGCAGATCAACGCTTACCCGGCCATTCCCAAGCTTGAAGATGCCAACCGAGATCTTGGGATGACTCTGCGTCGGGATGACCCATTGGACCGAAGGAAACACAATGTGCATAATTTTGCCAAGCAATATGCTTTGCAGAACCTGAGCCCTCCATGTCAAGGCAGACAGTAATACCTTGCTCTTGAGGCCAAGTCTCTCCCGATGACCAAACCTTTGCCTGCGTAGAAAAAAATGGATCTTCCCTACTGGGGCCAATTTTGTTCCCAGCTTCACCATGTGGCAGGACGGGCCAAGTTGGCGGATCTTCAAGTGAGGTGGTAGAATATTTATGGCCTGGAGGAGTCAAGAAGGTAGCGTTCAGCCAGCAAGCTGCCGAATACCAAGGCTGGTTGACGCAGGCGATTAGCAGCTTCCATGGTGGAATCTACAGGTGCTTGAAGGCGCCTGATGCTGTCCACATTCGCCCCTTCCGGAATGTGTCTGTTCAGCAGAGATTGGTTCTGAGACAACACCAATGGCATGAGCGGTGGCAAGCATTGAAGTGGCAGCAGGGAAAGTCCCAGATATGAAGGTGCCCTTCAAGCACGGAGTTGGGAAGACTTGGACCCTCACCGTGTGACGCAGCAATTGCACAAGCTACCGCCAAAAGCGAGCGGCCCAGATGGGGTAAGTTATGTGCCCCTGGGAATTGGAAGGCAGGCCCCCTGATCATGTCCGCGCCGCTCTTGTCATCCTCTTGCCCAAGAAGGAGGACGTGGAAAGACCGATCTCCTTGACGTCTGTTTTATACAGAACCTGGTGCAGACTGAGTGGGACAAGTTGAGGCATTGGCAGACCTCAATTGCCAATCGGTTACCATGGGAGAGATCCCCGCCGCCCATGTGTTACAAGTGGCATGATGAGGTTGCTGAAATTGAACGGCGTGTTGTGTCTCTGTTGGTTGATCTTCAATGCTTTGTTGCATTGCGCTAAGCAAACCTAGCTCGCGCCGCTTTTGGGGCCTCTGCTGCTGCCTACCCTGAGGCATCCATTGATGTGTGGGTTGATGACATCTCAATTGACTTTGCGTCGGATAAGGCTGCCCAAGCTAGCCGGGAAGTTCTGCAGGGCTATGAGCTCCCCAGGGAGAAATTGGAGGGCGCTGGCCTATAGCGCCTCAACAATCTTTTCCGGCGAGATGGTCGGCCGCAGGCGGACGATCTCCTCAAAGCCTTTTAGGCGTTGACAATAGCGCTGGCAGACGTAGGAGAAGTGGCGACCAGCAAAACGGCTGTTGAAGTTTGGAGTGTCTGCCCTTTGCTTTCAACAGCTGAAGCTGCAGTCCAGGCCAATCAAGATTCGAGTCTGGAAGACATCAAGAACCAGTGAACCACTGCCCAGCATTCACCTGAACCTCGAATTCCCATGGCCTTACCTTCAAAGGCAACTGCATCGTGAACTGCAGCATCAGCGTGCTCGGAGAACCCAAGAACAGGAGCACTGTTTTGACATGAACAGGCGGCTGGACTGCATGGACCATTTATCATCATAAGAAGAGCCCGGCTGATCAGCAGACCGCAGTGGCCTGGACGCGGGTTCTCTTCGGACGGATGCGAGGAGGAGAACGTGCCCGTCAGGTCCCTGTGACCATGAAGCATCTGGTGTGGGAGCGCAAGTACCAGGCCATGATGATCGGCAACAGCAGTTCTGCCCAACTACCATCCGGAAATTGGACCGGATTCTTATGACCTGGACAGAGACTTGCCCTTGGAGTTCAAGCCACCTGCAAGGACATCAGACTCAAGCGCTTTGCAGTGGCGCTGATCGTGGGGCACTTGCATGAACATCGGTGGCATGTCGTCGGGGTGCGCGCATCCTTGGCCATGGGCCAGGCCACCGAAGTCCGTGGTTGGTTCTCGGATGCTGGGTGCTGCTTCAAGCAGCGCTTGGCAAGCGCCAGCCGAACATCCCACCGAGCGACTTGCGCTCCACAAAGGTGCCAAGGGCCAAGGGAAATGCTGGGGCTGTCTTTGGCATCACATACAAGAAGATGAGTGGGCAAGGCTCCAGTTGCTGCACGTTGCAAGTTGCTCCAGGCCGATGGCACAAACTCGCAACTTGGTAGCAATATGAAAGTGCCAGGATTTTTGCCAGCGCAAGAGCCAGCAAAGAGTGTCCAGACGCAATGGTTGCAGAGGTGAGCCAAACTGTTGTACGACTTGCAGGGATCTATGAGGCTGCGGCTGAACGTGTGACCTGCCTGTTGCAAGACAAGGATCATTTCATGAATGGAAACTTATGCCAGGTCGCAACCAAGCTTCAAGTACCACAGAAGAGGAAGAGAGGGCGGGTGGATTCCATCGGCGGCGGCTGTTTAGAAATGGAGCCCAATGTTCAGAGTGCCTCAAGAGGACCAAAAGCTGCGCTACCCACACTGAGATTGCGGCCAAGAAAGAAGAAGCCTGCTTAGGCAAAGCAGGAAGGACCCTGGAGGAACTGATGACGCAGATGGTGGAAGACACATCCATCAATCGGAGTGTTCCAAGCCCTGCAAGGCTGATTTGCTCGCTCTCGGAAAAGAGAGAGAGGGGGCGCTGCGGCCCCCCCAACCCCCTCCGCGCCACGAAATCTGCACTTCATCTCCGAGTCTCCGCCGCCCGCGCCTGCCACGAAATCAATATTTTAAGGTGAACTCCCCGGGGCATAAACTTCTAACCAATCATATATGCCTCCTGTGCTGCTTCTCTTTCTCTTTACTGTTTCTCTGCTAACGTAGGACTTTCTCTGACACCTACACTATTCCAATGTATTTTGCCAGCTACGACAGCTCCCAAATTAGTCTACATAATTAGCTAGCAATTAATATATAACCTGCACTATTCCAATGTATTTGGCCAGCTACGACACCTGTGTCTCGGCCAAGGACACGAAATTGCTGTAATTAGCTAGGTACTATATAAAAAGAAACCTGCTCTACTCCGAAAACAAATTCTTGGTCGCAGTGGAGTTCATTTGAGAAATCACCACCGTTGCCGCCACCTATGACGCGCCACACCTCAACCACCAGTGAAAATGAACAAAAGCGACGCGACCCCGACTCCCGCCCCAGTGCGCAACCTTTGCGCCACCTGAGCCAATCGAAGATTGACAAAGTGCTTGGTACCTGCTTGATTTGTGCACTTCCTTGCGGTGTGACTGCAAAACCGTGCCTTAAAAGTGGTTCCCCCTTGAGCCACAGCAAAAGCATAAATGCCGAACTGCGTTCTCTTTCTGAAGAAAACTTGGTTGACATGTTAGGTCAACAAAGGTGGAGGTTCATCACACCACCACCATCATCATTGCTGGTTGCTCGGTTTCACAACATTGTCATTGAACAAACATTTGGTTTACTCTGGGCGGGGTAGGAGGGGGGCGTTCCCATCATAACAACACTTTATATAATCGACCTTATAACAACGGCATGCGATGCACAACATTGTCATCCGCTTCACAACATTGTCATGGGTTTCACAACGTTTGCTGGTATGAACTGTTATATAAATAATTGTTTTTCTTCCATGCGAAACCACAATTTAGAAAACACACCTTGGAATTTCGCATTCCGGCTGCCAAAACTTCAGTCAAGACCCCACAAAATAACATAAAATAACTCAGCGTCCAAGACGTCGATCCCCGGCCACAAGTCCAAAACACCATGTAAACACGACTTCAGTTTTTGGACAGTTCTTGCCTTTTCGGGGGTTGTTGTTTGCCTTGTGACCGAGCATTTCCGCAAAAAAACCGCCGCCATGTTTCACCACACGACACCTTGTGAAAACATGTCGAAAACCAACCTTCATGGTTTGTGTTCCTACACCCGGTGCCATGTCCTGCCACATGCCACACAGGTAATCCTGCCGTTTCTGAGACAAGTCCTCCTGAGGGCGTTTTTGAAATCAATGGCAGGCACTTGTAGTTGCAGCATAGAACAGTTTGAAGCGTCAGTATGCCATGAAGGTGTGGATGGAAAAGGGTGCCCGCGGCCCTGGAAGTTGCAGTCGGATTAGATTTTGTAGCGGTTCCAGATTCAGTGATCGTGTTCATGCACATGCAAATGGTCACGGCAAGGGCTGTTGCCAAGACCAAGCCTGCACGAAGGAATAGTAGGTGTCTGACGCAAAATGCCCTCGTGGCTGATCCCCATTTTCTTTTCCTTTGCTGATCCTTCTTCCCATTCATGTGTTCATCCACCCACCATTGTAAGGGTCGGGCACACCAATGTGCTTCTCGATATCCGCCCATGTTTTCACTTTCACCGCCAGCCTTTGATGCAGGTTTCCTCGAACAAGTTTTGACTGATCGACGGCATTGGATGCATCGGCGTCAGCATTTTTGCTACTGCATTAACCCGGCGACTCATGTACCGGTTTACCCGCTCCAGAGGTTCTAGCCAAGCTCAGGCAAGGACTTTGACAAGATTGCGTTTCCTGTGTTGAATTGATGCTAATTCACTTTGCTCCAGGAAAGGCTATGTTCAAACCAAGATTCAACAAGAGCACTCTGAAAAAAACAAAATCTTAAGTATATACTGTAATTGCATTAGCATGCTCATGCACGTGAAGCTCCTGGTACTTCGAGCACTTCTCAAGAACACAAGGATGCACACAAACCATCAAAGCCTTGGGCCAACAAGAATCTCAGCATTCATCAGGGAGGTCTTCTCAATAGATAGGTAAAAGCCTATGATGTTCCCCGAAGGCCGGAAAGTCGACCCAGCTTGGACTGGCTGCGTACAGACCCGGTGGAGACAAACCCAAGAAGGCGACAAACAGGAAAACAAAGGCTGCAGGCTCAACCTTAAGTTTGCGCGCTAAATCCTTGCTTGAGGCGTATTGCGACGTGCACCATTTGTGTGGCATAGGAGGCAGAAGACTGTCGGCTTGACGGGTTTAACGACATCGCTCTCATAAGATCCAGGCCGGGCCAGCTACACTTAAATCAAGCATAGTCAGAGCAGAATCTTGGCGCCTTGATCACTCTATTCGACATTGCCTTGCATCACCTCCCCGCCTATATATATTATTTAGAAAGTAGACATGCACTGTTACAGACATAAATCTATTCCAAGCCCAAGGTGAGTGTCAAGACACACAGGAACACAATTTCCAGGACTCCCCAGCTCTCAATCGCTCGTCAACCTGCACGAAGCCGTGTTGAAATTCCGTTGTGGCCATGTGCGCCGAGTGCGCGCCCACATTGCGACCGTGTCCGGCTTTGAATTGCACGCCCACCTCTCCACTGCCTTGATCAGTTTTCGTTTGAGTTCTGTACATGCCAACAGGAGTCAAACCTTTACGAAAGCCAGCCGATACAGTCTGAGACGAGTGCTATGATTTTCCAGAGACCATTGCTAGTACCTTGTATATATACACCTTGTTTTGGTATTTCTATATAACATAACATGCAGGGTCGGCGCGACCGGTCGCGCGGTGACCCTACGGTGCTGTGAGGGCAGAAGGCAATGAAAGGAGGTGAGCTGACTAGGTGTGTGAGTCCAGGTAGAGGACAGGAGAGGGGGACCGACTGTAGTCAGGAACCTCTAAGCCTCTAAGCTTCAAACTGCCATAGGGACAGCGTTCCGAAAAGCTCAGTACGGAAGTTCCCGACATTTGCAAGCTTGGTGTTTGCAACTAGATATTGATCCCAGGCACAAAGAATATAAGTTAACGGGGCCGCAAACAAACCACAATGTGAACAGCATTTCCTGCATCACGCTATGTTCCTGCATTTTGGTGGTGTGGCCGTTCATCGCCCTGGTACTCTCAGATAGATTAGTCGCATCGGTTTGCGCTAAATGTTGCCGTTACTTGCGTCGAAAGGTCTTCGGGAAGTCGCATCGGTTTCATGATTCCATGCTGTTTTGAGAACATGCGACATGCAAATGATCTAGCTAACCTTTCTTTCAATGCTACTGGGGCCTCGCTTTAAGTCGTATCAACTGGAGGAAAGTCGTATCAAAATGGTGTGCCCTTGGGATTGGCTTTTCTATGGATGTTTGTTGTTGTTCTATTTGTTCTACGAACTGATGTTAATGTGCTGTGCCCATGCGTTGCTTGCTTGTGTGATAGATTCAACAACCTTGTTGCATCATTGCATCGTGTTTTTTCAACAGACAGCGTGAGCTATTAGGGTTCTTACTTCAAGGAGCTGCGTGTGTGCGTTTTCGAGCGTGGGTGCTGGTGCCGCTGAAGGGTGCCGCTGTTGTTCCAGTGTAGGAAGAGCTGCGTGTTTGCGCGCTCGAGCTTGGGCGCTGGTGCCGCCGCAGGGTGTGCTGGGGAGCTTGGGTGCTGGCGCGTTGCAGAGTGCCGCTGCTGTGTGCGCTTGAGAGCTTGGGTGCTGGTGCCGCTGCAGGGTGCTGCTGTGTGCACTTTGGATCTTAGGCATGTGGCCATGTGCACTTTGGAGCTTGGGTGCTTCTGGGCTTGGCATGGTGCTTGGGCTGGGATGTACTGCCTTGGACCTCGCCTGGACCTCGCCTGGACCTCGCCCGGGCCTCGCCTAGAACCACCATATCCTCCTGCTGCTTGTATGCTTGTATGCTTGTGTGCTGCTTGCCTTGTGCAGCTTGCATGCTTGTGCGCTGCTTGTTTGCTGCTGCTTGTGCTGCTGCTGCTGCTGCTGCTGCTTGTGCTGCTTGTGCTTGTATTTCGTTTGGGGTTTTGAAGCATCTGTGAGCTAGAGCTCCTTGCTGCTTCCTTCGGCACCAATGGCGCAGGGCAGTGGTGACTGTGACATGATTGTCACACCTGAGAAGAAACACCTGGCTGCTGCTATTGCTGTTGTTGTGGTGGTGATGGTGGTGGCTGCTGCTGCTGCTACTGCTTGTTTGCTGCTTGTTTGCTGCTGCTGCTGCTGCTGCTGCTGCTTGTTTGCTGCTTGTTTGCTGCTTGTCTGCTGCTTGTTTGCTGCTGCTGCTGCTTGTTTGCTGCTTGTTTGCTGCTGCTGCTGCTGCTGCTGCTGCTTGTTTGCTGCTGCTGCTGCTTGTGCTGCTTGCGCTGCTTGTGCTGCTGCTGCTTGTTTGCTGCTGCTGGTTTGCTGCTGGTTTGCTGCTGGCTTGCTGCTGGTGTGCTGCTGGTTTGCTGCTTGTTTGCTGCTTGTTTGCTGCTGGTTTGCTGCTGGTTTGCTGCTGGTTTGCTCCTGGTTTGCTGCTTGTTTGCTGCTTGTTAACTGCTGCTGCTGCTGCGTGTTAACTGCTGCTGCTGCATGTTAACTGCTGCTGCTGCTGCTTGTTAGCTGCTGCTGCTGCTGCTGCTGCTGCTTGTTAGCTCCTGCTGGTGTGCTGCTGCTGTTGCTGTTGCTGTTGCTGTTGTTGTTGTGGTGGTGGTGGTGGTAGCTGCTGCTGCTGCTGCTGGTGTGCTGCTGGTGTAAATGCCTACTGCTGCTGCTTCCGCAAAGGAAATGGAATAGTTTCGTATAAAACCAAAACATTTTTCAATCACTAAAGCGCCTTGTAAACAGGAACCTGATGTGACCCCGTCGCATCGGGCCCCCCCTTGCAGATTAACAGTTTTCCAGTCACCTGATGTGACTAATATTGTTGACAGTAACCCGTACTTTTGGCGCTATTACCGGGCCGGGGCTCGTGGCCGATGGCAAAGGACAGCGGCCCAAATACTAGTGCAGAGAAGTGATGAGAAATATACTGCTAGCCTCCGTTATCCTGGCTACTGCTGGTCTGCATCTATTGCCGAAGAAAACCGGTTCCATGTGTAAAGTGCGGAGCACCTCCAAGGAAGCCGTCTAACCTTTCCTAACCAACGCGTCTCCGTCAGCAGCGTGCTCCTTCTCAGGTTGGATCTTTATTTATATATGTCTTGTTTTGCCTGTTGCCTCCGTCCTTCAAATATCATTACTCCAGTCATAAAGTTGCCTTCAACCCAGCAGACCTAAACTCAAAGCTGGCAACCCAATCATCTTGTGGAAAACCTTCAAGCCACAATTTCAAGTTGTTTGGTGCGCATGGGGGGGATCGGGGCACGCCATTGTACCCCCAAGTCTAGTCCCGCAACTTAAGGGTGGCATATGACCTGCTTCTTCAATGTGACGGGGTTTTAGGCATTTTGCAGCATGGCATTGCCCGTGCGCGGGCGTAGGGCCCGTGAAAACGGCATTGCAAAGGTGAGGCGGAGTGCATGTTTGTGCCACCGATGACTTTTCCTGTTCAGGCAGCACAGCTGACTGTAGCTTTGAGTTGGCCTGCTGGCCTGCTGGACCTTACTCATTCCATCTCATTCCTCCACCTTACCCATTGCACTGAAAATCAGTGCTGCGAATGCTGAAGATTGTCGGATTATGCATTCTGACATGCGCCGTGCTTGCGCAGGACACTCCACAGCACTGTATTGGCATTGCATTGCTTTGCCTTTGAAAGCGTTTGTTTGGTTCGGTGGCTCATGAGGAGCCTTCGTTGCCAGCAGCCGGCTGCAGTGCCTTGCAGAAAGCCGCCACCATCTCTT